GGCTATTACTTCTAGAGGCAAACACATTAATCCCTGCCCACTGGAAACAAACCACTGTACCTTCCCTGACCCAGTGGGTAGATAGATTGAAAGACACTTGAAACATGGAGTTGCACTGGTCGGCAAGGGGTCTCCAGCCAAAGTATCTTAAAGTCTGGACCCTCTGGTTGACATACCAGTCTTCCTTCATCAATGACCCAAAATCCCAGGCCCCCAACATAACCTCTACCCGATGAGACACCCTAAATGGTAGTGAATTAGGGATAACCACACATGAGAAGGATTTGGGAATTGTTATAGACAACAAATTAGGCAGCAATATGCAACGTCAATCTGCAGTTGCTAAGGCCAGTAAGTTTTTGTCATCTAAAAAAAAGGGGCATAAATTCTCGGGATGAAAATATAATTTTGCCTCTTTATAAATCGCTGGTAAGATCACACCTTGAATATGCTGTGTAATTTTGGGCACCTGTTCTAAAGGATATCATGGCACTAGAAAAAGAGAAAAAGTACAGAGACGAACTACAAAATTTATAAAAGGAATGGAGCATTTTAGTTACGAAGAAAGGTTAAAAAATGTAAATCTCTTTAGGTTTGGAAAAACTACGCCTCAGAGGGGATATGATAACATTATACAAATATATTCGGGGCCAGTACAAACCATTATCTGGAAATCTATTCATAAACAGGGCTATACATAGGACACAAGGTCACACATTTAGGCTGGAAGAAAGGAGATTTCATCTAAGGCAAAGAAAAGGTTTTTTTACAGTAAGAGCAATAAGGATATGGAATTCTCTGCCAGAAGAGGTGGTTTTATCAGAGTCCATACAGATGTTTAGACTGCAATTGGATAAATACTTGCAAAAACGTAACATACAGGGATATAATTTCTAAATTAGTGGGGCAATAACTGCTTGATCCAAGGAGACATCTGACTGCTATTTTGGGCTCAAGAAGGAATTTTTGCCTAGTTTGTTGCAAAATTGAAAGCGCTTTAGACTAGGTTTTTTTTGCCTTCTTTTGGATTAACAGCAAAAACATATGCTAGGAAGGCTGAACTTGATGGACGCAAGTCTCTTTTCAGCTATATAACTATGTAATACTAGGTAGGACCACCAAGAACACACTGCCACTTGCTCTTCCCCAATGCTTACTATTTGCTCTACAGTATGTGTTCCACAACCCCACCCCTTTTCACTTTCCTTAATCCAAGTTATCTTGTTACTGCATATTCTGTATGATGTTAACCTAAATTTCTTTATATGTATACTGTACCACACGCATTTATGTAATGTGACAAATGACAACTCATCATATGATATAATAATAATAATAATAATAATAATAATGATACAATGCCAAGGTAGATCTCCCACTTGTTGGGAAAACCTTATCATGCATTTTTACATGTATGACCAAACATTAGCAATAAAATATCACTATGTCAATCACCAATACATTCACCAATACATTGTATTGCTAACACAGATGTGTGTATGTTTCTTATATTAAAACGTAAATAAATAATTATGCCTCATTTCTCCAGCACTCACAGATACACTAATATGACTTCTCCTGCAATACACAAGCAAATATGTTTTGAACTGCAATTTGAGTTGACTGCAATGCAAATCAAATCCCTCTGCAATAAGAGACATGTGCAATCTGACAGTTTGCAAATATGTTGTATATTAATTTTTTTTTTTATAT